CAAAGGACAACTGTTGAATTATTAAATTGAAGATCCTAACTTTTGACAGACATACATAATATGCGTCAGTTAAACATGTTTTCTGGTACCAAACCCTTCCTTTTTCTTGAACATTGGTCTAACGCCTCTCAAATTATGTTTACGGGCTTGGTGTCCGAGTGATTGTAGTGGTACTGGTCCATATTTAGTAATCGCTAGGAAGTCAATACTGAGATTTCAAGTTTATGATAATGTGCTCAACTGTAATTATTATTTACTAGAGTTGCAGGTTTTGCTGCAGAATATCGATGTTTCTAGCACTATATCGCATATACACATACAGTAAATCATAGAAACTAGAGGCTCTCAAGAGCCTGTGTTGCTCATCTGTATCTACTGTGGTTTTGAAAATCATGTAGAATACGGTTAAAATCATAATAGATACCACATTATGATTGAGGCCAAGTTTAATTTAATGTGGCATTTTAAATAAAAAGCAGAAGATTTTAGAAAGAAAATACAAAAATTGCCAATATATTGCAGAAAATGTAGTTAAAAGGACAATTATTCCAATAAAAAGTCAATTTCCAATTTAGGTATTGTTGTCTTATCTGTAGATTTTTCTTTGCTTGATATTTTTGCTATTCACAATGCCAAACTGCATTTCCCCCATGTTCTTTTTTTGGCGACTGTCTTGGTTTATGGGCGGGATAATCGGATACAGTTTTTAAACTAAATACCCTAAGGATAATTTCAGCCAAAATATGTTTTAATTTGGCCCAGTAGTTTCAGAGAAGAAGATTTTCGTAAAAGATAACAAAAATTTTAGGGCAGACCAATCTTGACCTGATGATCATTTTTACTCCTCTATCAGATTTGCTTAAAATGCTTTAATTTTTAGATATATAAGCCAAACTTTACCCCCCACCCCTCCCCCCCCCCTCCCCCTCCTTTTCCCTATTCCCCAAATATTGTTCCGATTTTAGCCATGGCGACCACCTCTGTTAATGGGCGAGGTTATTGGATAGATTGTTTTAACTAAATACCCGAAGGATGATTTAGGCCAAGTTTGGTTTCATTTTGCCCAGCAGTTTCACGGAAGATTTTTGTAAAAGATTACAAAAATTTACCAAAAATTGTGAAAAATTGACTTTCAAGGGAAATAACTCCTTATGGAGTCAATTGAAAATTTTGATCAATTGACTCATTAGTATATCTTACTTTGCTGAACAATTTTGCCGTTAGCAGTATATCTATTATAATATTCACGATAATAACCAGAAAACTGCAAAATTTCCTTCAAATAACCAATTCAGGGGCAGCATTCCAAAACCGTCTGAAAATTTCAGGGCAGATAGATCTTGACCAAATGAACATTTTTATTCTTGTCAAATTTGTTCTTAATGCTTTTCTTTCAGAGATATAAGCTGAAACCTACAGTCTATGTTCTATTTTTAGCCATGGTGGCCATCTTGATTGCTGGGCGGGGATCATTGGACACATTTTTTAAACTAGATACTCTTAGGATGATTTATGCCAAGTTTGGTTTAATTTGGCCCTGTAGTTTTAGAGGAGAGTAGAAAAGTTAAAGACAGGTGCCAAGTGATGAGAAAAGCTCATTTAGCCCTCTTGGCCAGATGGGCTAAAAAGTAACACATACCGAAAACAACCGACAAAAAGCAAAAGTGTCGGATCAAAAGCAAAATTATCGGACAAAAAGCGAAACGGACCGAAAGTAACGGAAAAAAGGCAAAAGTGTAGGACGAAAAGCAAAATTTTCGGACAAAAAGCAAAACCGTATAAAAAGCAAATGTTGGACAAAAAGCACCGTATCAAACAATTAAAATAAATTCATAAAAATCATTTATAGATAACAACTTGTTATTTTTTGCATTTGTTTTTGTATAGATCAATAGAAGTAGGTTCATTAATTGTAAACTTGATAACATTGTCGGCCACTAGTCGCATAACCACATTATAATATAGTCGGTAGAATAATTACGTAACACAGCGTGCTAGTGACTTAATACGATACATATGGGGTGTGTAATTTCCAAATGAGGGTTCGGGCTTTGCTTTCACACCATATGGAATTAACTGACCCCATAAATATCGTACTAGGTCACTAACAGACTATGTAACTAATAGTATGAACTCAACAATGAGCACAGTGCTTGTCATATATATAAATATTTATATAATAAAACGTTGTTTTCAATTTAGACTTATTTATATTTTTTTGGGCTTGTATTATATTTGCCTTCGGGTTTACATGATCCGTTCATCCTATTTCGACTCTTTAAAATTCAAAAGTCTATCCTAAATTGAGGTAAATTATATGGCCTTCCAAATGGCGTTTCGATTCCTAACATCACTGAAGAGACATTGATTGTCGAAATCCAGATATGGTGTACAAAAAATCTTTGCACCTTTGTTTGCGGTATATCATCTTTGCCGCAAGTTTATTGTTTTCTGTTTGGTATTAAATTTATAGTTAAGATCCATTTATTACATCTTGTGATCCGTTTATTTGGCAATCGCCAATGGCAGTCAGCAGGGTTTAAGAACATCCGTTGTTCGACCTGTTAGTCAATTGCGTTTTGTTTAAATATACTTTTTCACTTTTTGGGTCTTTTGGAAAATGTTGTTTATGCTGTATTTAGACCCCTCTACCAAGAAATTTGTTTTGCATGCACACGTATAAAAATTGCGGTTTTTATCCAACGCAATCATATGTTTGAACGTTGTTTTCAATTTAGACTATATATACATATATTACGTCAGCTTTATATACAGATCATTACATGACAAAATATCAAATAATTTAGACGAGATAATTTTTGAAATAATCTTAAATTAAGGAATGTATCTCCCCTGATGCAAAGCTCTGATTCCTTGGCCGGCTTAGGCTTTACTTTGTTGTCCTTTTTGGTTTAAAGCTCTTCATCCTTTTAATAAGCTTTAGATTATCAAATATTTTGGCCTCGAGCATCACCGAAGAGACATTGACTGTCGAAATGCGCATCTGGTGCAGAAAAATTGGTACCATTTATGTTATTAACGATCTCGATTACGCGAAAGCAATAGCACAAGCATAACATCAACGCTAATAACTTAAAACAGGAACCTGATTTTGAGAAGACCAGATAAGGTTATAGTTGGTTTATACCTGTTTACGAGCGCTCCATCCCTCTAACCTTGGACACATTCGTAACATTAATCAATAAGAGCAACTTGAAAAGAACAACAAAAAACCTTAAAGCAAAATACTACTTTACCTGAAAGGAATGAAATATGTTATCCATACTAAAATATCAATCATTACCTATCAAACGAATTTATTGTTAAAAAGTCTTAACCAGTTTTCGAAATTTCCATATGTATTCTTTAGAACTATAAAATCTCCATTTCAGAATGTCTTTAGGCTTAGGATTAAAAAAAACATGACCAGTACATTCTCTTTAGAAGACTCATAAGTCAGTTATGAAACAAACTTACACTATTTTTCTTATTAGATTTTGCGTTTTGTATTTCTTATTCTTTATAATTTATTTCAAACAGTTTTTCTATGAAAGCTTTGTTTATGTTTTTCTTGAGGTTTTTCGGGATATGAATTTAGCCAATATTTAATGACTCATATTCAATACTCATGCAGAATATTAACAATATGCCAAATAATAGTGTCTAATGATACTATATGACTTTCTTCGCGTACAAACTCAATAAATCAGTTATTAATTTAGCTGATCTCTTTTAAAGTACATATTTGCTTTAAATACGGCTTTAATAATGAAATTGCTTAAACGGGGGGGTTCACACGCTTGACCGCGACAATAATTATCAGTCTAGAGTCATTCAGATACATTAAACTTATGTTGGGCGATAATGAATTGGTGCATGCCTCACTCATAGCTTTACTTTTATTAATTTTTTTCCCATTTATAAACAAATATTGATTTAAAGTTTGTAATATAATTGCAATCTTTAAAAGTAAGACCATTACAGTATAAACCTATTAAAACTACAAATTCTTGTATTGTTCATGATTATTCTTTTGTCAGAAGTTTTGAGTCATTTCTCAACATATGAATAATGCTCAATTTCTTTGTGCAGTTAAGTGTTCCTATATTATTTTTTTTTGGTAAATCTTGAATGAGAAATTCGGTAATATCTTCGCAAAATATATCAAGATCTTTTTTCCAACCTTTGATTAAAATTTTTATCTTAAGCAAATAAATGTTTTGTTAGTCGAAGTTACATGAAACCTAAAGAGTCTAAAATATCATATTTCTTTACTTTCACTGTAATTGGTAAATCAAGGTGTTGGTGTAAATTTAAGTTCCTTTTATAAATTTATCTCTCCAAAACATTTAGTGTAAGAATGAAATATAAGTATAAAGGGTAACAGGATTCATATCAGCAGACAAATATCAGTCTCGAAATCGTAATACCAAAACAGTAGAATAAAGTATAGAATAATGGTCATGCTTGGACTTACGTCCATTTATAAAAAAAACTTGCTGAAATAAGGTGTTCGTTTTGCTTTGTGGAATACATAAATGTGCAACCATATAAGGTCAGAATGGAGAAGTTAAAATTGATTCTAGGGAGCGTGCCTGCTAATTCTGGGTCTGAAGTTTTACCTAAGCTTCTTACAAGATTTATTTTGCTCTTAAAGACAATTTTTACCACATAACATTTTTTTTTGTTGAGCCTGTAAAAAAAGAGAGCTACTAATAATAAAAAAAAATATCTACAAAATAATTCAGCATGGCCAATTTATGCACATTGGCTCCTTTTAAGAGATATTGCCCTTGCAAAATTATTTTAACAATTTTTAGATAAAATCTGAAACAACGAACAATTCTATTGCTTTTTAATGATTATGCAAACAACGTCAAGGAGCGTTATAATATTATTATTTTTTTGTTAATTAATACATGTACCAATATCTTAAAAACCTCTATTATCCTCAATATATATTTTTTCGTGTATACTGACAACTTTCTTTTCTAGGAATACATGAACCATTAAGTAACAACGATATAGGTTGTACTTGTATAAGAGACACATTTCTGCAATTATGGAACATCTTTCTGTAGCAAAAGCCATATGTATGTACTTATTGAAAAATTTGTCACCAAGAGTAGTCCGTGCTAATTTTGACAGATATTTCTCACCTACCAATCTACTCTCAACGCTGACTGCAAAATATAACACTCTCTTGGACTTGAAATCAAAGGGAATTCTGAACCAGACTCGAAGGCATATTTTAGTTCCAAGAAATGGTATATCTTTATGTGACTGCTCAAATTCTGTGGATTTAGATTTTATTAATATGACGTTCACATTATTAATTTTATTATTTGGTGATGGCTAAACAAAAATATTTCTCATTTATAAATGACATCTTCAATATCTTGTCATTAACAGTTTCTCTTTTTTACTTACTTCTTGCTTAATTCACTTCTGAATCGAGTGCCTAGATGTATAAAATAACAACACTGTTCTACTTCATGATATTGGAACCATATAAACAGTTAATAACGCACTCAGGGCATTACTCTAACAAATAACTATTCAAAATTAACAATAACAGTTATGTTGAAAATGGAACACTACTTATAATTACTTATATATGTAATTTTTGTAAATATTCTATGCAGAGGTTTCTTTTTTTTTTTTTACAGATTTTACTAGCGTTTACATATTTCCACCAATACTATTGTATTTTTCAATGAAGTATAAAAACTAAAATAAGAATTTCTTTCCAGATGTATACACGTATAATATTAAAGCTTTTGGATCAAACACTGGTCTTTTTCGGACTATGTTAACATCATTTTCATTAGAAATCTTGAAAGTAGATAGATATGAACAGATGTAAATACTATTCAATTGAGACATTAAGCTGATCAGAATTTGTAACTCAAAAATATTATATAAATTCCTTAATTAATTGAAATTGATAGTTATTTGAAGGATAAAATAGTATAAAATTACTTATGGAAATACTATTTGTGTCATTATTTTTTACAGTTCATTTGTAAAAAGTTATCCTTAATATTGAAAATGGTGAGTCAAATACTCCAGCATATCACATTTTAACACTGATTTTAGGACCATATAAATTGTTTGTTGCAGGGGTAGCTGATTCCAAAACATTTGATGTAGCATTGATGATCTGTTTGATCAAAAACTTGACAACTATCATTCCTGTAATCAATGGATTTTACCGTGAACCACAAGCGATAACATTACAGAACATCAGATTTAAATTGCTGAGGGACACCCCAACCCGTCATGCTACAACAATAGTAGACCTTGGTTATCTCAATACAACATGCAGATATATATCAGACGTAAGTGTGTCTTTGCAACGCTTAAATTAATCAATATTTCAGAAGAGTATTCAGTTTCATGTTTCTTAACCTATTGAACAAGTCTGTTCTGAAATTTAAAGGCCTTGATTACGAATTGTTGGTTCTGTGTTCCGGGAAGTCATAAAAAAGGCAGGCGGACATCACAGTAGTCTGGGACTCCGACTGAACAAAATTCTCTTTGTTTCCATACATATAAGTAGTTGATTCATTATTGAAACATTGGTATTGAGAAATTTACCACCTAACATCCTTAACATCTGTGTAATGCGACAAATTTGAGAATCTTAGTCTATTTTCCATGGTACATGTGGTAGGGGATGCAAAATACCATGGCCAGGTATTTAATGTTTTAAACCTTTTTTTTCACTTCCTTTTTTTTACCCACCTACCATGAAAAAATTAATAATTTCAGATTTTCAAAATTGTCAGAGCTATTTGAACAACTTTATATAGTAATAATTCTTAAGTAGTGATAATTCTCATGTAAGTATTTTGTAAGGATAAGCTCAGAAATATCAGAAAAGATTTTTCAAACATTTTTACCTTGCCGATTATTGACGTCAGTATTTTAAAACTGCTTATATGTTCAAAAAAGTTTCTTGAATGAATAAACAGGGGAGGTCAGTTTCGTATAGGGCTTCAATTTTCCAAACAGATGAGGTTCAATTTTTGCATGGGGTTTAAAATGTCATTTGTTTCTTTAACTCTTAAAATGTATTAGCTCTGCAAAAATAGCCCTTTTCAATACCTTACATTTTGAGTTGAAGTTTTATTTGCACTGTCTTTGATTTGATATATATCTTGTTTATTTTTGGCAATTGCAGATGCAGTTTTATCTATATTACGTTTGATTTATTACAGATAAAATTGGGAACAGCATTGTGGTATATTTTGAGCTACAAACTTACAGGTACGTCTAAGACATTTAAATTATCAATTTGAATTATCATTGCAATATATAAAAAAAAATCAAAATATAGAAAAACAATGAACATCTTTATCAGTGAATGCAGTACATATAACAACATACAATTGTAATAGAGATCATGCAGCAGATGTTACCGTTGTCCCCGAAACGAGTTTAAAATATTTAATGATTTAAAGTCGGAGAAAATATTCCTTCTTTAATATGACAACCTTGTTGTTCTCCCTCTTTTAATAAAAATATATGTGTAACTTATTAAGGAAACGCACATTACCATGCCGAAGTATAGAATGGCATCGCGATCCTACATTTGTACCACGCAGATTTTATCAAAAGATATAAACATGAATTCAAGATTGATTCATACCGAACAAAACTTGTCAGAATTCGTCCAATATCTGTTGCGTGTTATATTCGAATTTTTATGAGAATTTTTGTTTTCTTCGTTACTTGCGACTTCTAATGTTTTTATTGCCCAACTGATCTTACGCTTCTTTGTCATTATATCAAATTAAACACTGCATACAGTTTGTACATCATTTCTAGATTTATCTTCATTAGGAACGCTCCAAGCCAAAACCATTGTATTACAGTTATATATTGAACAGTTAATTTAAATTTACAGAGCAGCTACCCTATGCTTGTCAGCAAATGAACAAATAAATTTTAAGAGTGTCATGTTTCTTTTAAAAAATATCCTACTATTGATGTCTTATGTATTTTCGCAGCTATAAAAGCTATTAAACACACCAGCGAAGAAATTTCTAAATGCAAAGAAACAACAGACGTCGATTTCCGATATCAACTACAGAAAGCAGGTATATATAATCAACATCATAAATTGTTAGTAATCTGTTCTATTTACAAAGTCAAATCATTCTTTATAGAGTTTGAAACCACCACATTTTTTGTTGTTAGAGAAAAGTTGAAGGAAAAGTATCGTACTCTAACTTTTGCATGTGAAAATCACCTTCCATCTTACCTAATCTTCAATTATCTGTTTATTCTGTTACTGCCGTAATACTTTGCAACAACTTTGAAAATGACCCTGTGACGGATATTGCATGTCTAACAGATTATATAACTTTGTTTCGGGTTCTTTTCACTCTGTTCGGAGAATTTATTGTTCGTACTGTTTTTGCTTCCATCCCTGTTGATATGTACTGGATATTATTGTTTTACTGAAATTGATACAATATCAAATGTTAACATTTTGCGTGAACACAATTTCGTAGATATGGACATTCTTTTTTTTTTCAAATAACACATACTAAATCTCTACGTTGACGTTGTAGTTAACACGTCATTAAGTAATTATCAGTCCTTCAGTCAATATTCAGACTTATTAACTGCGGAAATTCAATTTTATTCCGACAATTCCATTGCAGTCAATTAAGATCTATCCAGTCTGAAACTAACATTATCAACCTGCTTGATTTCGTGACTGACAACATATTTGTTACGTTGGGAGGACATGTATTTCAACAAACCATCGACATTCCTATGAAAACAAAATGTGCCACTCTTTTTGTCCACTTGTTAATTTATTCATTTGAGGCTCCAATATCAATATTGGAAAACATAGAAATGGTGTGGAAATTATCGTCTGGTATGGCATACTGATGTTCTGAATAATCTGTTTTTATGGTGTATTTTTTTTCAAAAATGAGGATCGAAAATAATTAACTTTTTTTGTAAACTTTCCATGGTTTTGCGAACGAAACGTCAGTATGGAAGTTGTTTACCAAACGACAGACTGTTCCCGCTTTATGGTTTTATAAGGGAAAAACGGTGCGTTCAGCTGGTAACAAGTAAAATAGAGTTATTTCCGGTAGTATCAGAAGTCACCTTAAAGGAAGTCATTTTAAATAATATCGGATCTTTATGAAAAATCTTGTTATACTTACATACGTCTATGCTATCTTTTATCTTTTATATTCAAAACACGATAGTTATTTTCAAGTCCTTTTCCACGAATAGTTGAAGAAAAAGTGTCGTACTCTTAACTTTTGCATGCAAAAATCACCATCCATCTTGTCCAATCTTTAATTATCTGTTTAGTCTGTTACTGCCGTGATACTTTGCAACCACTTTGAAAATGACCCTGTGACGGATATTGCATGTCTAACAGATTATATAACTTTGTTTCGGGTTCTTTTCACTCTGTTCGGAGAAATTGGTGTTCCTACTGTTTTTGCTTCCATCCCTGTTGATATGTACTGGACATTATTGTTTTACTGAAATTGATACAATATCAAATGTTCACATTTTGCGTGAACACAATTTCGTAGATATTGTATTGACATTCCGCAACGCGATTTATTGTTTATCGTTTTTCAAATAACACATACTAAATCTCTACGTTGACGTTGTACATAACACGTCATTAAGTAATTATCAGTCCTTCGGTCAATATTTAGACTTATTAACTGCGAAAAATTCAATTTTGTTCCGACAATTCAATTGCAGTCAATTAAGATCTATCCAGTCTATTTCAGACTTTTCAGCAGTTTTTATTTACCTGCACACTTCAACAGCTGTTGAACGCTATGAAAATCGGCTGAGCAGTACTAAACTGACTGTTAGCGAACTGTCTGAGATGTACTGAATTTACCGCTGTAGATAGATATGAAAATAAACTGAAAGACTAAATATGACCTCATTATTCTTTTATGGCAAATAGGGGATATTTATTGAAGAATTAAACTGTTGGAATGATTGGAGATGTTTTTTTCATTGTATATAGACTAGGATATCCGATTTTATAAACAATAATTCTTTTCTAGATTATTTGACTAGGGATTTGGCTGTGATAATTTTGCAGAGTGATAAGGGGAATGAAAGAAAAAATTTCTGAACGCAAAGAAACTATAGACGATGAATATCGATACCAACAATTTAAAAAAGGCATACTTAAATTACAGCATACATTTTATATAATCTGTTCTGCTTATATACGTCTGATCATTCTTCAGAGTATTTGAAACTAGCCATGTTTTTGGGGTCCGTTGAACTCTGATTTTAGTTTTTAAAGAATTCCACATTGCACTAAGGTATGTAAGAAATCATAGAAAGTAGGACGAGTTTACTAAATAAATTAAGTGTTAGTATTTTATTTTTAAATGTTTCTCTTTTGTAATAGTCGCGCTTAAGAATATATAAAATGATTATCTCCGTATGAAAAACAGTCATGCTTGATTGTATTGGTTCGTTGTGTTGCAATTTCTTTTATTATGAATTTGAAAATGTTTCGTGTTATTTAATTTAATTCTGACCAGTTACACTGCATGCATATATAATATTTTAAAGTATTTTTCACACCATGCATATAACTGAGGGTAAGAATTTAACTTTTTACAGAACACTGAAATGATACTTTATGTTAATCAATTGGCATATGATAAATGTGACTATCTTTAATATCATTTAAAATATTTGACATTTCCAAATTTTACACAGGTAGTGCCCTTCCAAACTAAAAGTCAAATTGAAAGAGTTAGTCCAGCTTTGTTTCATAAAAAAGAATGGCGAACGTAGATCCATGTATTTTGTCTCAGGGAAGGATAAATCCTACTTTGTACAAAAAATTACTTTGATTCAAACAAAAAATTTTCTGAAACTAGCATTATCAAGCTGCTTGATTTCGTGATTGACAACATATTTGTTATGTTGGGAGGATGTGTATTTCAACAAACCATCGACATTCCCATGAAAACAAACTGTGCCATTCTTTTTGTCCACTTGTTCATTTATTCATTAGAGGCTCCAATATCAATATCGGAAAACATAGAAATGGTGTGGAAATTATCGTCTGGTATGGCATACTGATGTTCTGAATAATCTATATTTATGGTGTATTTTTTCAAAAATGAGGATCGAAAATAATTAACATTTTTTGTAAACTTTCCATGGTTTCGCAAACGAAACGTCAGTACGGAAGTTAACCAAACGACAGACTGTTCCCGCTTCATGGTTTTATAAGGGAAAAACGGTGCGTTCAGCTGGTAACAAGTAAAATAGAGTTATTTCCGGTAGTATCAGAAGTCACCTTAAAGGAAGTCATTTTAAATAATATCGGATCTTTATGAAAAATCTTGTTATACTTACATACGTCTATGCCATCTTTTATCTTTTATATTTAAAACACGATAGTTATTTTCAAGTCCTTTTCCACGAATAGTTGAAGAAAAAGTGTCGTACTCTTAACTTTTGCATGCAAAAATCACCATCCATCTTGTCCAATCTTTAATTATTTGTTTAGTCTGTTACTGCCGTGATACTTTGCAACCACTTTGAAAATGACCCTGTGACAGATATTGCATGTCTAACAGATTATATAACTTTGTTTCGGGTTCTTTTCACTCTGTTCGGAGAAATTATTGTTCCTACTGTTTTTGCTTCCATCCCTGATGATATGTACTGGACATTATTGTTTTACTGAAATTGATACAATATCAAATGTTCACATTTTGCGTGAACACAATTTCGTAGATATTGTATTGACATTCCGCAAGGCGATTTATTGTTTATCGTTTTTCAAATAACACATATTAAATCTCTACGTTGACTTGTACATAACACGTCATTAAGTAATTATCAGTCCCTCGGTCAATATTCAGACTTATTAACTGCTGAAAATTCAATTTTGTTCCGACAATTCAATTGCAGTCAATTAAGCTCTATCCAGTCTATTTCAGACTTTTCAGCAGATTTATTTACCTGCACACTTCAACAGCTGTTGACCGCTATGAAAATCGGCTGAGCAGTACTAAACTGACTGTTAGCGAACTGTCTGAGATGTACTGAATTTACCGCTGTAGATAAATATGAAAATAAACTGAAAGACTAAACATGACCTCATTATTCTTTTATGGCAAATAGGGGATATTTATTGAAGAATTAAACTGTTGGAATGATTGGAGATGGGTTTTTTTCATTGTATATAGACTAGGATATCCGACTTTATAAACAATAATTCTTTTCTAGATTATTTGACTAGGGATTTGGCTGTGATAATTTGCAGAGTGAAAAGAGGAATGAAAGAAAAAATTTCTGAACGCAAAGAAACAATAGACGATGAATATCGATACCAACAATTTAAAAAAGGTATACTTAAATTACAGCATACATTTTAAATAATCTGTTCTGCTTATATACGTCTGATCATTCTTCAGAGTATTTGAAACTAGCCACATTTTTGGGGGTTCGTATTACTCTGATTTTAGATTTTAAAGAATTCCACATTGCAATAATGTATGTAAGAAATCATTTTAATTGGGACGGATTTACTAAATAATTAAATGTTAGTATATTATTTTTACATGTTTCTTTTTGTAATAGCCGCGCTAAAGAATATATATAAATTATTATCTCCAAATGAAAAACAGTCATGCTTGATTGTATTGGCGCGTTGTGTTGCAATTTCTTTTATTATCAATTTGAAAATGTTTTGTGTTATTTAATTTAATGCTGACCAGTTACACTGCATGCATATATAATGTTTAAAAGTAATTTTTCACACCATGTATATTTCTAAGGGTTAGAAAATTAACTTTTTACAGAACACTGAAATGACACTTTATGTTAATTGATTGATTGATTGTTGGTGTTTTAACGCCATTTTAAGCGCCACTTTTGGGCTATTTCGTAACAGCCAGTTTTTATTGGTGGAGGAAGCCTGAGTGCTCGGAAAAAAACCACCGACCTTCGATAGGAAAACTGACAATCCTAGTCAATTTAGAGTTGGAACTGGTTTTTTTTTCTCACAAAAACGAATGACGATCGTAGATTCAAGCATTTTGTCTTTGATTCAAACAACAAATTTTCGGAAACTAGCATTTTCAAGATGCTTGATTTCGTGATTGACAACATACCTGTTACGTTTGGAGGACGCGTTTTTCAACAAACCATCAGCATTCCCATGGGAACAAACTGTATCCCTCTTCTTGTCCACTTGTTCCTTTATTCCTATGAGGCTGACTTCATACAGGAACTTTTAATGAAGAAAGAAACGAAATTAGCAGTATCCTTTAACTTTACTTTCCGCTATATAGATGATGTTCTCTCACTAAATAGTTCAACTTTGGTTAATATATAAAACAAGAAGATGTTGTATGATTGCCATTGAAACAACTCTTCCCAAGAAACCAAATGACAAAGAAATTAACAACTATAGGTCACTGTACGGCCTTCAACAATGAGCATAGCCCATACCGCATAGTCAGCTATAAAAGGCCCCGAAATGACAATTGTAAAACAATTCAAACGAGAAAACTAACGGACTAATTTATGTTGAAAAAAATGAACGAAAAACAAATATGTAACACAGCAACAAACGACAACCACTGAATTACAGGCCTCTGACTTGGAACAGGCACATACATACAGAATGTGGCGGGTTAAACATGTTAGCGGGATCCCAACCCTCACCCTAACCTTGGGCAGTGGTGTAACAGCACGAACAGTGCAACAAAAGAACGATAAAAATCAGTTGAAAAAAGGCTGAACTCATCAGATTGATACAATTAGAAACACATCTAACAAAAACACAGAGTGGACGTGGCCGGGTACTTGTACTATGTTGAACGAATCTATTCCATTGAACTTGAGATAAAGGCTACATCAGATACAGATATGTCTGCCTCATATCTTGTCTTACATCTAGCAATTGACAATGTGGTTCGGTTGAAAACAAAACTTTACAACAAAAGAGATAATTGCAGCTTTCAAATTGTGAATTTTCCATTTCTATGCACTCCAGCAGCGCCTTTATACGAAGAATATATCTCCCAGTTGATACGATATTCCAGGGCTTGTATTGCCTTGATAGAGGGTTGCTGCTTACAAGGAAGCTATCAAACCAAAAGTTCCAAGTGGTGAATTTAATTTCGTAAATCTTACGGACGTCATTATGGGTCGGTTGACCGTTATGGTATATCTTTTTCACAGATGAAGGCGAATATGTTCCAACTGATGTAACTACAATCCTGTCCCCTTTTTCTCGAATGTGATCTACCAAATTAAACTTATTACAGGGTGTGTACTAACGTGAGCATCACAACGGGTGCCACATGTGGAGTAGGATCTGCTTACCCTTCCGGAGCACCTGAGACAAGTTTTGGTGGGGTTCCTGTTGCTCAGTATTTAGTTTTCTATGTTGTGTCTTGTGTACTATTGTTTGTTTAATTATTATCTTCTTTTTTAGTCATGGCGTTGTCAGTTTATTTTCGACGTATGAGTTCTAATGTCCCTTCGGTATCTTTGACCTCTCTTTTACGATTGACTTCATTATTTCACTTTGATTTCATATTGCGTAGACCTTCTTTCAAATATGCCATCTCTATCATCGAAGACATTGTCATATGTATACGAAGTATTGACTCAAACATTTAAAATGAAAATTATGTGACTGAATTGATGTATTAGGGTGGTACGAGTAGCATCAATAACCATCTCAAATTGAAAAAAAAACTGTACGGAATTTTCTGAAACATTAAAGAAATAAAACAATCACCAGTTCTATCTTCTCAATATGAAGTTCTTGCAAACTTCATGGTATATATAGTAGTAAAACTTCACTAGGAATAATAAAAGCCAAGCCTTAAATTACCAAGGATAAACTTTAATTCATCGTATCAAAAACAGTGCATGTGATAAGTACTGTAGATAAGTCTTTTTAACATTAACTTAGATCTTAGATCTTGGTTAACCGGTTAATAACCGGTTATCGATCAAAAGATCAAAAGATTATCCGATTAATCACATGAATCAGTAATGCAAAACTGTTCGATTAGACAACACCAGTCGTTACATTTATTTAGTATTTCTTGCATGTTTCTATGTTATCTAATTTAAAATGAAAAATTGAACTATTCGAAATCTCTTTCCGATATACAAAAAATAAATTAACAAAGATGCCGAACTCCGAGGAAAATTCAAAACGGAGAGTCCGTAATAAAATGGCAAAATTTAAAGCTCAAACACATCAAATGAATGGGTAATAACTTTCATATTCCTGACTTGGTACAGTCATTTTCTAATGTAGAAAATGATGTTTTAAACCTGGTTGTATAGCTAGCTAAACTTATATATATATATATATATATATATATATATATATATATATAAGTGATGACGGTTATATTCAATTGTGGAAAGATTCAAAATATTTCCTCTGCACTGCCCTATTTCGTATGAACGTATGTTCATTCGCTTTTATTAATGAAGCTAAACGTATGCATCACTTTATAAAAATGTTATAATTCTATAGAAACATATAACTTATTATTTGTACTTTATTATAGAATTACAACAATACTGCAAAAAAGGTCTATAGAATCGTCTTCTTTGAAGTAATCAAAACAGAAAGATGTATATTTTGGTTTAGTGATTTGTCATGCATACAGTGGAGAAATGAGTTGAAATGGATTACAATACCTTAAATGGCATTGATTAAATTTTACACGGACAGATAGACAAGCGTCCAGTAAATCATATGAGGAAAGAACGTTTTAGCAAAATATGGTTAAACAATGAAGCCAAAGCTATATTTCAAAGTATTATCCATTATACGTTATAATATGCAGCAGCTTTTTGTATTAACAGCAAATCTGTTTATTCTCTTATTGGTGAAGATTATTGGAAAATTGTTGTATACAAAGTTGTTTGAGTTAAGTTATTGTAAATTTAGAAAATATAAGTTTTATCAGTTTGTTTTAATCCCCATCATTCTATTAAAAACTAAGCTTTTGTCGTAAAAATCATACTTTTTTTTATGTGGAGTGAATATCTTATTTGGCGCTCCCATTAATAAAACAAATCACGATACTTTGTTCCTTTACAGTGTGTAGTGTTAAGTTTTATCTAATTTAGTTTTAGATTAAGCCCCCTAATTATATGAATTAGGTCATTTGTTTGAACTATATTTTTTTTCAGTTAGACGTTTCTATATTGCCATTTTTAGTTTGTACATTTGAGTGTATTTTACTTCGTTTTCAGTTGCGGATCCAGGGATCTATAGAATCGTCTTCTTTGAAGAAATTGAAACAGAAAGAAGTATATTTTGGTTTAGTGATTTGTCATGCATACAGTGGAGAAATGAGTTGAAATGGATGGGGGGGGTGGGGGTAGGTGGTGGGTGGGGGGGGGGGGGGGGGGGGTAAAAATTACCTATTTTTGGACGATAAATGCATTTGAAAGGGGACATATGATTGGAACACCCCCACCCTTATCCTAGGTTGTGAAACCCTCCTTTTAAGAATGGCCGGATCCACCCCTATTTTTTATAAGATATAAGGTTTGAGTTGTCTTTTTGACATTGATTTACATCCCCTTTTTTATTGATATGGTATTTATATGATGTCATAGATTAAATTTATTCGTTCAGTGTATGTTTACTTTGTTAATATGTCTTTTTGATCGAGTTAAGTCATTGCAATTAATGTTTTATAGTGTGTCTTTCTATGTTGTAATGCTACACTACTGTTTCATGATAGAGTGAAGTGGTTGTTGATGTGGTTCATAAGTGTTTCTCGTTTTGTATATAGATTACAAAAAATGGAGACTGTTGGTTTTTCTATTTGAATTGTTTTCCACTATTCATTTTGGGACCCTTTATAGCTTGCTGTTCGGTGTGAGCCAAGGCTCCGTGTTTTACTTTTATACATTGTGACTTGGATGAAGAGTTGTCTCATTGGCACTCATTCCATGTCTTTTTATTTCTACTTGTTGGAGAATAATGATAGCCGATACGGTATGGGTTTTATCATGTTGAAAGCCGTACGGTGACTTATGATTGCGTAATTCCACTTATTTGAAATCTGGTGGATAGTTGTTGTCTCATTGGCATTCATACCACATCTCCTTTTTTTGGTATATTGAAGCTTATTTCGATAAAATCTTAACAAACTTACTGATTAGAGCGATTGTTTTTGTAAATGTTTGAAAAAAACGAGTACAATATCATGTTCAACTGATACTGTCAAAATCGTAGCTAATGCCTCTTTAAGCAGATTTTCTTTGTCTTTGTCAAATAATCAAATATATGGCGTATACGAAACATTGTAATTTTTTTTTATTATTATTAATTAATTACAACAAAAAGTCTGGATAATGAATGAACCTATTAGTAACTTTATATGATATTTCGTGGGTTGTTATTTTCGCAATTTCAATGTTTTCGCGCAGTGTACCTGATCGCAAATACGCCATTAGAAAACTTCCACATTTACAATACTTGTATTCTTCATGCTTAATTTGCTGTTTTAAAGTCTAACATTTTAAAGCAACTATTTCATTATTATTTGTCACCAATGCAATAATTACTTTTGAGGACAATTCAAGTCTAAAAATTGCATTCATAAAAACTTAATTAAAATGAAAATACATATCCTGTGTCTACTTTTCGCTTTCAAGGACCTAACAACACCCTGTTCTACTTTCTGTTTTGTTAACTTTACATTATCTCCAAATTATTACAATACACAAAAATTAAAGATGAAAGCAATTATATATTGCAAGACAATTTAAAAAAACAAATACAATAAATATATTATATTTAAACAAGTGTGGACACAGATCAGTGTGGATAGTATGATTGGATGTTTGACAGTGTTTTATATGACAAAAGGAGTTCTATGTTTTATGTTTTCTATGTATTGTCTGTGTTGGACAATGACAACCAACATGAGCATTAGGGGTGTTGTTTATGTAAAATTTAGTTTTTTATGTTCAACACGGGCATGGAAGAGATACTAATTGCATTAATTACCAAATGATTATGATAGAATATATATGTTCCACATTTTTGATTTTGGATACATTTTGTAGCTATGAGAGGAACACATAATAGGTTCATTTTTTTCTTAATGTGATTTTTTTATATGGGAGATGGTATCTGAGAACATGTATTTGCTTACTATTTGTATGGTTCTATTTATATTACTTTGTGGGGGATTGTCAGAATCATAAGTAAAAGATTTCGGTTAAATGTGGAAATTGTAGACATTTAATGTTTTTTAGTAATGACAATGCCTGACATGAAGATTGGGGCTAGATGAGCTAGAAAGTGAATTTCTATGTTATTTTTTTTATTAATTCTTTGAAAATATCTCCTCCAAAGCTGGTCAAAGCAAAAAAAAAGTTTTGACCAGTATGAAAATGATATCAACAAAAGAACCTTTGTGAGCATGCTTCAAAGACTCATAACTAACTACAGAAGTCATATGATAAAATGTCAAGTGGATATTATGAACATCTACTTAATATGTCTAAATATCTAAAAAGTTTTAGTATTCAATATGAAAAAGCTATTGCAAAAGTATTCTCTTTTCAGTTTTTTTTGTTATATGGATACAAATATAAGGGATACCAATACAGTAAGGCAGTTTTGTTATGGTATGAAAGTGTAGTAATTAACATTTATTGTTAATTCACACAAATTAAGAAATAAACAAATGAATGATAAATGTTGAATATGTACAATGAAATATATTTTAGAAATCAATTAGGCCAGATAGGCCTTATAAATTTTGGTCTTTTTCTTAACATACTGAATGACCATTTACACTCAGGACTGAGTCGCCAGTAGGCAGTACAGATGTAAAAAAATAAAGTGTAACAAAAGAACCTAGCATCATATTACTAGTAGCACCAGTAGCATTGTTTGGTGAATTTGTGCTTCTTTTTTTTTAGTTTGGCTAATGGACAAAAAATGTTTGGTTCAAATCTAAATAAAATGCTTTTTATCTCCCTATTACTTACATTGTTCATAGAATGGATACTACTTTGACAATTCCTTGTACATGAGAGTTGTCTGTCAAATCTTTATTTCACAAAGAATGAATTGCATAACAATGAACTGAGCTCAAAGCAAAGCACTTTAATAATACACTTAGACAATGAGCTCAATCCAGTGATATACTTTGTACTACAGGTCCTTCATGAACATCCTACTGGCCAAAACCATATCTCACAAACATGCCATACTACATGGTTGAATCAGAAGTCCTGAAAAAGACATGAACTTTATTAACATATTTTAAGTATATACACCGGTTAAAACTTTCACAAATTTGTGGTAAAATTATTCAGTATCTAGCAACTATCAATCGCTTCATGCACAAATTGATATAGGTTGAGTACTTGTCAGAAATAAGAACATACCTCCACCTAATTTTAGTTAACTGATGAAGAAACATTCAAAACTATAAAATGTTATCTAATAGACTAGCTGCAATGAAATCCCAGTTTTCTAAAATGGTAGGTGGAACCTAAAACTCAAAAGATTTTAAACTATGCATTTTAAGTATTGCAAATATACATGCAATAATAATTCTTCTCAAAAATTCGCTATATTTTTCCTTATTTTGTCTTTTGTTCGAGACTGTATATTGACCTCTAGATGTCTTTCAATTACATCCAGTTTGGCGTGGGTTGATGTTTGATTGTTGTACATGTTATATATGGACGTGGGATTTTATATAAATTAGGCGTGAAATAATTTTGGTTAACTAAAATCCTTTAACTTACTTCCAAATTAATATTAATACTGAGGGAAAAAATTACATTGCTAAATAACCACTTTAAAACACATGCAAACTTTTTGAGAAGAAGGCATAATGCAAGTAACATCTATTAGATCTTTTTTAAAACCATTCTAAACTACTGATAAGTGATAAAGTTTGTTAACAGTTACTTACCTTCAAAAAGGGGGTTGCATTCACTTTACTACATATACTTATAAATATAATCAACAATACTGATCAGTGCAACACCTAGGATAGATAGAGGATTGTTTTGTAAGAATAGTTGCTGAAATAAGCAGGCAATATTCAAAGTAGAATAAAACATATTACAGGACTGAGTTTTAAAGTAATAAGCATTGTGCAGGGCTCACGTTACCATGCTACTGGCAAGTCGCTTTCCCGGTCGCCACTTCGCTTTGACCGACCTTCAAAAGCGAAATCTAGTCACCCTGTTGTTTACGATACTCGCTTTCAGTCGCTTTCGTCATCGGCAATATTCAATATTTACCAAGTCGATGAAACAGCAATTTTTCATTTGAAAGTAAAGAAATTCAAAGACGTAAATGATTTATTTTCTTTAGGAGGTTAAAGCATTGATTTTAAAGTTGGTTGCATGTTATTTTCATAAAGACAATTTTTTTATCACTTCTGGTACTTGTTACTCAATCGTAGATCAAATCATTCTAACTTTCGGCAAAATAAGCTTGTTACTTCATTAGAACGTGATGAAATTAAAGATTTCTTGCTGTTGTGCAATACTTAGTAAATCTGTCGTCAGACTATAAACAAATAAAGTTCAATTAATTCCCAGTCATATTAGAAATTTATGAAAATGTAAAGGGAGCTTGCATCAATAGATATAAACGATTCACTTAAGTTTCATGAGAATTGCTGACAGCATTTTTGAGCTATTGTCCGAAACTGGAAAATCACCGCTTTTTTAATGAATAAAACCCCATAACTCAGAAATGTAAAATGTAAAATTTATAAAATTCTAAACGGAGCTTACATCAATATAGATATAAACAATTCACCAAAGTTTCATACGAACTGCTGAAAGCATTTTTGATTTTTGTCCGAAACTGGAAAATCACCCCTTTTTTCATGAATAAAACCCTGTAACCCAGAAATGTAAAATCTAAAATATATAAAAATCGAAAGGGAACTCATGTCAATAGATATAAACAATTCATCACAATTTCTTGCAAGTTGGTGAAAGCTTTTATTGTCCAAAAACTGGAAAATCCCCCTTTTTTTAATGAATAAAACCCCATAACTCAGAAACGTAAAATCTAAAATTTATAAAAAACGAAAGGGAGCTCATGTCAATAGATATAAACAATTCACCAAAGTTTTATGCAAATTGGTTAAAGCTGTTTTGATTTAATGTCCGATATGTTGATGACGGACAGACAGACGGACAACGATATACATGTACCATAGTACGTCCCGTAAACGGGCGTATAAAAATGACAGGATGTCATACCACACCAAAACCTTCTGAAGGAAACACTAAGTTGGCAAACAATCTTTTTTTTTCATTGACAACCCTGTATAACCTTGCAGCAGTATCG